TATATATATATATATTTGTGTAAATGTTCCCCCAATCTACTTCTTAGGGCAATTTCTCACAAATTAGCCGTGAAAAATTAACTGCATCTGCTTTGCATGGATTTGACTTAAAAAAATAATTTTTCTATGAAGCAAATAGCTTTTTCAGTAGAAACGAAGCTATAATATTTACGTTCAAATTTGCAAAATATATTTTACACATTTATACTTAGTTAAGCCAACCTTTTTTGGCACCCAAAAAAAAAAAAGAAGCTAAATAGCAATGTTCTTATGCAGTTATTTAGCAAAATAAGATTGTATTGGCACTATAATTCCTGAATGATGTTATTGGCACTATATAGGGGGCAAGTATCTGATGCTGTTATCACACCCCAGTATCATTGCCTTTCCTTCTCTCTGAATAATTAATCCTAATGCCCATATGCTAATTTTCATTTTCTGCATATAATAGCTTTAGTAACTTTCATTGTTTTGTTTCATGCCAATAAATTTTAGTGAATATGCTTCATTGCGTCAAATGTATTTCTCTACATTCTCCATTTTTTTCGCACCTGAGTTTTTTATTATTGTTTCTCCAAGGAGATCATTTAATTCGTCACATCATTGCAGAAAATCACCACATTCTTCTGACTATAGCTTCTCCATTGAAGTTCTTAAGTGGCACTAGAGCTTAAGAGAAAAACTGTTACAAGCAGCTTCTTTTTCATAGCGACAGAAAGTAAAGTGCTACCTATTCTTTATGACCCCAAAGCCCATGGCTTTAAGGAATAAGAGACGTGTTAAAAAGTCCAGCAATAGATATCTCAAGCCTGGTGCTCTTGCAAAGCTTCGTTATAACTTGTCTACATCCCGATGTTGCACTGACATAGGAAAGAAAAGGGTTGTGTTAGACTCCAAGGATAAGAAGAACATTGGGAAGCAAAGGATTATGTTGGATACTGAGGAGAGGAAAATGGATTCATTACTCAGAGATGATATTGGCAATCAAAGCACAACGCCTGATACATCTTCGACGACAATTAATTTCTGGTCTCCGTTGAGGCCACACCATGTGATTAGACAAGTTAAATTTCTTGAGTCACCGAGAACACCAGCTGCTATAGATTTGGAGTGTCACTCAAGGCTTGAATCTCTCCCCATAGAACTTTTGGTATGTGATTACAATACTTGAGTTTGTTCCTTGAATTGTTTTTTGAGGAATGATCAATTTTCATGTTTGGCATTAATACTCCCGTGTATTGCATTTGTCTAGGTGAAAATTCTATGCTATTTACATCATGATCAATTAAGAGCAGTTTTCCATGTCAGCCAGCGAATTCGATCAGCGGTATGATCTTATTCTTTCTTCATTCATCTCTGTTATGATCTTTCCCTCTACTAAATGGTTTGGAAAATTGGTTCTCGGCTTAATTTAAGTTTATTTATCATATTTTCAATAGTTACGATTAGGGGTGTAAACGAGCCAAATTTGGCTCGTTTAAAAATAACACTGTTCGTGTTTGACTCATGTTCAAATTAGCTCGTGAACACTATTCCTGTTCGGCTCGTTACTTTTTTTGTTGTTCGTGTTCTGTTCGAATTTGGCTCGGTATGAATGAAACATTAATTTAAATATTAAATTTTTAAATTTTGCATGAAAAAATATTCGTTCAAATAAAACTTTTAGAAGTAAAATTTTATTATTCTTTTAAAAATTTGAGAAAAATAATACATTTACATCGTCAAAGCTGATGAACAACTATTCATAAAATTGTATTATACCACTAGAATTGATAATTCTTGATTTTTGAAATAAAAGAAAAAAATATAAATTTAGAGTCACTAGTCACGATCATAGAAATGTTTTGAGAGCTCAATTCACAAATGAACAAAAAATATATTACTTAATTAATATCAATGACAATTACAAAATTTACACATTTAAAATATTTACATCTAAAAAAATGAAAATTATAATAATTACAACACATCAATTTATTATACATTTACGCTACATTTACATCTTCAAAAAAGAAAAAATAAATAAATAATAAATACTCAATTTTTTTTTCTTCTTATGCAATGATTACTTTGATGATCCAAAAATGATTTGTATGGTTGCACTTGCACCCGCATAACAGCGAAAAAAAATGATAAAAAGAAATATTTGTTCATATCAGAGCTTGTTATTTCCATCTGTTAAGAATTAAAATTATGTTACTGTGTCTACATTATATCCCTAAAGCATAAGTGGTGTTTCATATAAGCCATCTGAATGACCATGAATCAGTATAATTCAATAGGAAACATAATACCTTAATTGATCAATCAAAAGCAAGCATAAATGGTAAGAAATGATCATGACTCATGATCAATGTTTGCTAGAGCTTAGATGGTATGTATTAGAGTACAAGTTAATGATAGCAGAGTAGCAGCTCGTTGGAATCAAAGACGCAGAGTAGCAAAAAGCAATTAGTAGAAATTGAGTGGTATTTATGTAAATTTTCCAAGAAAAAAATTTGTAAAAGAGTAATACTTAACCAAAAAAAAAACATGTTACAGAGAAGAAGAAGAGAGAAGAAGAGCTCATAACTTACCTGCATTTAAATCCTGATGATTCCATCCTAAAGATAGAAAATAATTAGAGCAGCAAAAGATCTCAAGCCCAACGACCAAAAAGTGCATATAAATTCAAAATTATGTTTAAAATCAATGACTAACCACCTAGTCATTGATAAACAAAAGTCCCACATCAATGTATTGTTCAAACTTCAAATAATAAGCCGAAATTAATGAAAATATCTCATTATTACGTCATTGAGCCGTCCATACGATCACACCGGTTAATTTACATCGAATTGTTCCTCTTCCATTTTCTCTTTCTGTTTATTTGTAGACAATGAACTTCTATAGTCATCAAGAACTCTCCCATTGGCATTTAAAGCATACTCTGAAGCCATTGTTGTTGTTGGAATTGATAAAATATTCTTAGCCATTCAGGATAAACATGAATATTTTAGAGTGTTCAATTTCTACCACTCAAGGATATCAAATTAATCATTATTGTTAAAAAATAAACCGTTATTAAGATATATCTGCAAATCTGGTTTTAAAGGTTGAGCAAACCTCAATGATACCACAAAATTCGTGAATCAAAGTATACAATTAAAATTTGTGGAGAAGATAAGTCACTTGGAATGTTCAAAGATTTGCTAACATTTGTTGTACTAGAGCTTGCAAAATCAAGTTTATATTTATTATATATATTTTATATATTCCAAATTCTATCTTCACCCTCTTGAGTTTTTTAGCTGATTTCAATGGATGAATATATTTTTCGAGTATATATATATATATAAAGAAAGAAAATCTCATTGTCGTGTTCATCTCTTAAAGTATGATTGTGGAGGCAATAGAGGGTTTTAAATTATCAAGCATCTAGGTGATAACAATACAGTTAAACATTTGACCTTTTTCTGTATTTGGTGTTGTTCGTCTATTTAGGAGTTGAAGATTTATGAATTCTGAGTTTCTCATGAATTCCTATTAAAAATTAAAAACATGAGATCACCAAAGATGGTATGATTGGGTTTAATGGATATTCCAACAATGAAGAGCGTTGTCTTCTAGAGTGTAGTGGATGCTACACTGGCGCCACTAGGAGAAAATAATGTATTAGGGAAAATTTTATGCTATAATAGATATAGTTGAAGGAAGGATTGTGATATTAATCTTGGGATTTACTTTGATAGCACATATTTCCAATTTCTTCACATATATAACCTAAAGTTTGATTCTTTACAGTTATAATGCTTTGGTGTCATAAATCTAAGCATGAACAAATGTATTTCATTTTTAAAGAGTTAGTTACAGTGATATTTTTTTATGTGATATTAAAGATTTGAGTGTAATGCATGTATATATGAAGGTAGAGGTGTTAGATATGTAACAACATAACAATTGGGTGCTATATATATACATATATATATGTAAAGACCCCCCTTTTAGCTGCTTTTACTTGAAAACTTTTTTTCGATAATTTGTGCGTTATTCCAATGTGAATAATTCAGACATGTTATCAGTCCAACACTAACTTAATGAAGTATCTTTCGTGGAGCCACTGGCAATGTCTGCAGGTGGATTGAATCTGCTATTTATTACTAAACATTAAAAAAAAAAAAAAACCTTCGGCAAACAAATGCGCATATTTTTACAGTGTTTAGGAAAATGGTTTTTTAATATATATATTTATATATACAGTCAATGATTATCATCAGCTTCCATAATCTGTTCTTATTTTTCAAGAAAGATGATATTTTATTCATTCAATTTCTATTCATGATATGATATTTGCCCTCGTTTTATCCCTACTTCTCTCCGAAGCCTAAATTGGTGTTTGAATTCATCGCCACAGGTCATTATAGCGAGGCAAACTTATTTTAATTACACAACTCCTGACCGGTCGAGACTGGAGATGCTCAGGATACAAACCCCTCTTCCAACTGAAAGTTGGCCTTTCACTCGGTATGCAGACATCATCTCTTAGGGCCATTTCTGCTTCAATTTTAGTTTCTATTTTTGTTTGTAATTTCTTTTTTTTAATTTTTAAATATATTTGGTTAGTATGATTTTTATATCTTTCTATATTTTTTATTTTTAAAAGCAAATCACCTTATTTTTAAAAAATAGCTACTGTAATCTTACATGTTTTAATTCAAATTAGAATATAAAAAGTACAACAACAACAATTTTATTTTCTATTTTTTGTTTGCAATTTTACTTTTTTTTATATATGTTTGGTTGGTATGATTTTTATACTTTTGGTATTTTATTTTTAAAACAAATAACCTAATTAAAAGAAGAACATTTTGAGTATTTTTAAACAATGTTTTAAAAATACAACAAAAAGCAAGAATAAAGCCTTTATCCCACATTCTATGTGGGGTCGCTACATAAATTCTTTTTCTACCTTGTGTTCTATTGTCATATTTTTCAAGAAATATGTTCTAAAAAAATAAAAGAATACATAAAAAGATAACTTGAAACAAAATTGATGCAGGGCTTAAATTTTCAGTTGATTGAAACATGCATTTAACTATAAGTACATCATTCTGTGCTTGTTGCAGGGGAGTGGGTAAAGGCATCAGGATCTCAAGCCCGCTCACCCCAAAAGCTCCGCGGCAACCTCCCCGCCCTCCTCGCCTTCATTTGCTCGACATAAAACAGGTCGCGGCCGTCCTCTTCCAAGATTCTACATTACCCTCTAGCTGTATGTTGCTTCCAAATTTTCCAAAACCCAAGCTTCTCAAGCCTCTTGCTTCAAATAGAGTATTGTTTTATGAGGATGAGTTATGCAAGGCTGTTGCGCAGAACAAGCTTCGCTGAGTTTTCTAGTCATCATCTTTGTCCTACCTACATCTCCCCCTCCCCGTCCATGTCTGTAAATAAACATGTTGGATCCTCGTTTTGATGTTTTGTAGTATTGCAGATTTGCCCCCTCAGAAATTTTGCGCTTGGAGATCAGGCAATTCTATCATGTTTTCTTCTGTTTAGAGGGAGATTGTTAGGTGTTGAGAAACAGTGGAGTTTTCCCTTCCGCTGCTATGTTCTCTTTTCTGTATGTACAGTTCTCATAAAGTTCCCATGTCTCATTTACTGTTTCTTTACTATTTTGTTTCACTTTTCTGCCTCAAAATAATTTGTGAATAACAAACGTTTTGCGTAAACGTCTATTAAAGTTTTTTATGTATATTTAAAAAAATACTATTTTAATGCTTATAATTATTATAAAATTGAAAAAAAAAATCTATGAATTTTGTAACTCCTTTTTATCCTTTCAAATATAAAAATTTATGGCGACGCTTGTAATTTCTGACGGACAACTCTTAAACTTATTTTAAAAGAGGCTTATTGTTTATTTATAGACCGTTTAAAGTGGATGTGTCTAAAGATCTCTACTATTATGATTGTCCTTTGATTTCTCGCTTAGTAAGGATTAAAGGTTTGTTTGGGATAATTTTTTTTTTTTAAAGGTTTGTTTGGGATAATTTGGGATAATTTTTTTTTTTTTTGCATATTTTGTGTTTGAGATCATCACTGTAACTGTTTAGGGAATTATTCTTTTTACTTTTTTCTTTCTAAAAATTTTTGTGGTGGGAAGTATGTTTTTCAATATAATCTTTTGAAGCGCAAAGGAATGAGGGTACCCAAGCTCCATCACTATCGCTGCCTTCAGAACACCATTGTTGCATTGCCATTGTCGCCGTCAGAGCATGATTGCCATATTATCACCGTCAATACCACCAGAACACCTTTGCTAGATTACCACTCTCATCATAGAGAGACTGCTATTGCTTGATCAATACTATCATTGCAGCCGACCATCGCTATCGTGTCACCACCATCGCTGTCGTTGGACAATTGTTGTTGTCCCGCCTTCTAAATGTCGTCTTGCCACCACCATCGTCGTTGTCGGACCACCGTCGTCAAGCCGCTACCGCCACCTGTGTTAAATATATGGAGCATGTGACTTACCTCTCCCACCTACTTTTCTCATTTTGTCTTTAAATAGCCTCTTTTGGCCTGCCATAAGTGCTAAGTCAAGTCCTCTTGAGAGCTAAGAGAGAGAAAAGAAGAGAGAAGGAGAAAATATTCTTGTAAACGTCGAGACGCTCAACGGTGTAATTTCTCGAAGTAATAAAATCTTTTGCAGCTCCGTGGATGTTGACAAATTAGCCGAACCATGTAAATCTGTGTGTTATTTTCTGGTCTGTAATTTTTCGATCCAATTTTTTAACTTTATTGTCGTTTTTTCATAACAATTGGTATTAGAGCTTGGGTTCGAGGCTAAAAGAAAACGATTGACAGAGACAAAGTGATGACATCGAGGATCGAGAAGTTCAATGACAAATTTTAGTTACTGGAGGATGCAAATAGATGACTACCTATATGGGAAGAAACTGTCTTCCGTTACTTGGAAATAAGTCGAAAAAGATGGACGAGGCGAAATGAAATCTATTGGATCGACAAGTTCTGGGGGTTATTTGATTAACCCTATCAAAATCGATTGCCCACAACGTCATCAAGGAAATGATTACTACAGTTCTAATGACAACTTTATCAGGTATGTATGAAAAGCCACTGCCGAATAACAAGGTGCACTTGATGAAAAAGTTATTGAACTTGAAGAAGATGGAAGGTGTGTCTGTTGCTGTACACCTGAATGATTTCAATACTATCACAAATCAATTGTCGTCTGTTAAAATTGATTTTGATGATGACAAACACACGCTGATATTGTTGGCATCATTGCTAGATAGTTAGGAAGTTATGAGAACGACACTTAGCAGTTTTGCAGGTAAATACAAACTAAAATATGATGATATTCTTGATTTAATTTTAGCTGAGGAGGTGCGTATGAAAGATTTTGGCGAGACCTCGGGTTCGAGTTCGACACTGATTGTTGATTCCGGAGGGAGATCACATGATCGGGTTCGAGTTCGACACTGATGACACTGATTGTTGATTCCGGAGGGAGATCACATGACATGAACTCAAACAGAGGAAGATCAAAATCAAAGTTTGATCAACAGACAACCTGCTGGAATTGTGACAAGACTGATCACATAAAAATGAACTACAAAAATCCTAAGAAGAAGGAGAATGATAGAATAAATGTGGTAACTAAAGAAATAAATGATGCACTATTTTTGACAGTTCATAGTTCTGTTGATGACTGAATACTGGATTCAGAGGCTTCCTTTCATACATCTTCCCACCGGGAGTTGATGCGAAATTATGTTGTAGGCGACTTTGGGAAGGTATATCTGGCTGATGAAAAAACTCTGAATGTGGTGAGGATGGGAAAAGTTGATATTACACTCACTAATAAGAGCAAATGGACTTTGTAAAATGTCAGAAACGTTCTTGAGTTGAAGAAAGAATCGTTCTTGTGTTGAAGAAAAACCTCATTTCTGTTGAGCAGCTCAATTAAGGTGGTCATTTAGTAATGTTCTCAGATAGCACCTGGAAGGTTACCAAATGATCAAATGAGCATTAGCACTGGCTTGTGGTAAGAAAAATGACACACTATATATGACTACTGTTTACTCAACACTGTTGCTACTACAGTTGCACAGAGCACAACAGATCTGCGACATTGCAGGCTTGGTCACACGAGTCGTAACTATAAAGAAATCTTGCAAGTTGAGAATTCGAGCAAGTGGGAGTTGACCAAAGAGGAGCAGAAGGATTCCCTGCCAGGGAATCAGACTTGTGAGCTGACAGAACTTCCACCAGGGAGAAAGACATTGCACAACAAGTGGGTGTACCGGGTGAAAATTGAGCGTGATGACAGTAAGAGGTACAAGGCAGAACTTGTTGAAAAAGACTGTCAGCAGAGACAAAATATTGCCCATGCAGAGAGAGTGTAAACATATACATGAGTAACCCAGAAAAGAACTTGGAGATACAAGATTATGTTGACGCAGATATGTCGACTAAGGGTGCTACTCTTAAGAAACAAAAGTTATGCTCGACTTCAGTTGGTCTTCAAGCGTGAAAACATGAGCCATGAGCTGCAGAGGTGGAGGAAAGTTGAGGATATCATGTTTGAAGAAAAATGTCGGTACAACCAATAGATGATGCAACTTGTAGTTGGTGCAGTAAGTGTCCCAATCTCCAAGTTGAAGAATTGTTAAATATATGGAGCTTGTGACTTACCTACCTCACCTATTGTGTCCCACCTACCTCTCTCCCACCTACTTCTCTCTACCTACCATTCTCTTGTTTTCTTTAAATAGAGTCTTTTGACCTGTCATAAGTGCTAAGCCAAGTCCTCTTGAGAACTAAGAGAGATAAAGGAAGAAAGAAAGAGAAATGAAGTTTTATTGTAAAAGTTGATTGGCTCGACGGTGTAATTTCTCGAAGTAATAAAATCATTTGCAGCTCCGTGGACGTAGACAAATTAGTCGAACCACGTAAATCTGTTTGTTATTTTCTGATTTGCAATTTTTCGAACTGGTTTTTCACTTTATTGTCTTCGTTTTTCCATAACAACCTGACCATAGTTGCATTCTAAAATTTTAGATGTGTAGAAACTTGTAACTCATATGACTTATTCCTTTTGGCGTTCTTAGATCTATACATTTTCTGCCTTTAGACATTTTAGATAGAAACACAAACGTTTTAGAGCTTATCTTTTTATAGTTTCTTAAGCTTAGCGGAGACTGGGATGTTAATAAATAACCTAATATGACAAACTGACATAAACTTTACAAAAAAAAAAAAAAAGATTTAAATTAATAAATATGGCCAAATAAACCAATTCAAACTCAACTCAAATAGTTCGGACATAGGCTGACCAAACCATTACTAGGATAATATGATTAAACAATGTGTGATTAGAGAAAAATTATTCTATCGAGAATCTAGTGAGGATGCACAACATGGCAAGTGGACCCCACCCTTCTAAAAAACTCATCCAACTAGTGCATTACAGTGGGACCAACTTGTCACGTAACAAGTGCTCACTGGATTCCGGGCACAAATTTGCATCCGATGTCCCCATGAAATGAGCGCTCATAACCAGAAGCCTTATACTGAATTTAGCAAAAATGTGCCTCTAATCTCTTAGTTCTTGCTTTCTTTCTTTCTCGAGATTTTTGGGCATCAATTTCTTAAACTTTAATTTTATTTAATGAATACTTTCTCGAATTGCTTTTAATGGACCTTGATAGCTTCATAAAGAGTAATATATAATTTTACTCTATGAATTAAGCACTATGTGAGGACACTACCACCCTAATTAATAAGGAGCAGGAAGATTTAACCAAAAGAACTCTAAGAATGACACTCTCAGGATCCACCTTTGGGATTGGAAGAGCTTCAAAAGAGAACAATTTGAAAAACAACTTTTACAAATTTTACATTAGAATTAATGATCAAATATAATATAATTTCAACTAAATTCATTTGGGATGAATTGTAATTAATCAACAAGAGTGTATTCTTATGGGAGATTTGCACACATATCACACCATTTTTATGTATTTATATATCCAATACCCAAAGTTTGCATGCATCGAAAAATGTTTGTTTTGCTTTAAAAATGGTCCTGATGGGTGATGTTAAGAGATTTGAGCGGTATGTCTGTAAATACGATTGTTTGAGTGTTGGAAATGTAAATTCTAAATAAACAAGAAATGTGGATTGTAGGGTGTGTATGTAAACTTTCGTTTTTATGTCTAAACTCATAACGTAGAACTACATGCATACTCCAATAATATGCCGTTAGCTGTGCTATATTGCGGATGTTATTTTGGGGTTATTGAAGAGTAACCGCGAAAATTATTTCTAGGTTATTGAAGATGAACGCATAATTTCTACTTCAATAACCAAAAAATAATCAAAAAATAACCTCTGCGATTCTATTCAGGGTCATTGAAGTGGAATCACATAGATTATTTTTAGGTTATTTCTGGGTTATTTATGCGTTATTGAGAAAAATCATATATTTCAATTCAATAACACCGAAATAATCTAACAATAACCTCCACGATATTATTTCTTGGTCATTAATTGAATTATTGCGGAACACTTTAATAATTTTTAATGGGACGCATGACGATATATTCATGCAGTTCACAGTTGCAGCGACGTTAGGAGCTGAGAGTGCGGACAGAAAATATTTCCCCCGGCAAGGTGGTGGGTGCCCTGAAGCACGATGTTCCTGATTCTCATCTTTCTTCTCGTTCTTCCTCGTGTTTTCAGAACTACGTGGCTCTGTTTTCTAATCAGAAGGTAAGACGCCTATTGTTTAGAAAAATGTTAGGGTTCTTGTTCTTTTTTTCGATCCGTGCTTACCTTAATTATTGACACAGGAATCTCTTCTATTTTCTCTGGGGATTTAATAAAAACATTTTATATTACCTGTGAACATTATTTCTTTCATTTTCATCAATGGAAATCTGCGAGCTTGCTCCTTTTTTTGTTCCCCCAATTGTTGTAATTCAATGTAATTTTTAGATGTTGTACATGATGTATGGTTGGGCTTGGTGTAACATCCACAGTTTACAATTTTGAGTAAGAAACCTAGCACATTACCCTTAAATATCTATTTATTAATATGATATTCTAATATATATATTGAAGTGTATTTTTAAATGGCTTTGATCTTTGGAGACTTGTACTAAACATTGCCTAAGAACAGCGATGATATCCCTTGAGTTGCTATAAATCAAATTTGAGCTTAGGATGTTTGATCAAATATTTTTGGATTCATTATTTGTCCAATTTACAAATCCTCTTTACTCATCATAGAGTATTATGTACTTTATTTTATGAATATATGTTTTTTATTATTATGAGCATTATATGTATGAAAACAAGAGGTTGCTTTTTCAACTCGAGTTCCTTAAGAAATTGCATGCATTGATGTTGTGGATTTCTTTTTTTTTTGATTTAGTTGATGTCAGTTTTGCTGACTGTTTTCAATAGTTTTATGAAGAAAAATTCTCTAAAATTTTGAAATTAAAAGAGAACTTTTTGGTAAAGTATAGTTGTTGTATGGAACAAATAAGTTTTAAGAAGACAATGAGCATTTAACTCTAGTAGTTTACTCTCTTCGATAGGAGTTAAGATGTCTTATTAAGTTATTATTTTTTAGTTTGTTCATTATGTTATTGAAAATAGATTTGAGAGTAAGTTCCTTGTCCAATGCACTTTTTATTTATTTATTTTGGAACCCCAATAGTTAATGCTACCTCATCAGTAATAAATTTTCGAAGATGGCTATTAATTTCAAATGCTTGGTGTTCAACATTCCAACATGTTGGAAGGCTAAAGATACTCGATGCATTATGTGTTATGTGTGCGATTCTTATAAAATGAAATATATTCACATTTTACAAATGTTTGAACTCTTATCAAGAGAGAAAATTCAATAATTTCATCATATATGCTCTAAACGTCAATGTTTAACATCAAAATTTGAGCATTTGGATATTCACTTAAAATTGCATAAACAATAATAAATTCATCATTGATAGTTTAAACGTATATACATTATTTGATCTAAATTATTTTATGCAATAATATTTGTGTGCAGCTGTGTATAACATATAAAATCTATTTTTAAAATTTATACTGTTGTATACATTTATTTTGTATAGTCAATTTAAGCAATTTTGCAAGATAACATATCTAAATAGGTATCTGTAGCACATAAAGTGCGTCCTATGACTTCTAAAAATATATGCACATGATACGACTAAGAACCGAAACAACAAAAAAACGATGAATAAATTGCAATAAAGATGTAGATAAGCTCAAATGAGGGCCGATACTAATACTAATGAAAGTAAACAAGGTACAATGTTGATTGAATGTTTGGAAGGTAGATCGTCTCTCTATAAACCCTAGACACCGCTAGAAAAGCCACGAGAAAAGAAAGCTACAACAAAAAAACATAAAATAAACCGTAGACAATTAGCTCTCCAAAATACTCTCTTAAAATTATTCAAACTTTTTCCCTAAAACTCCTCCTTTTGCATGTGATTACTGACTGCATGGGGCCCATTCAAGCACTGAAATTGCCCTCGGCCCCTCACAGACTTTCCACCTCAGTTGGCTGGGCCGACTGGTTTGGCCAGTGCAATCTCCACACCAGTCCTCCTTAGAATGACGGTTCAATTTGGGGGGGGGGTGGGGGGCACTGTTTTTATTAGATCCAGCAATGGAACTACAGGAGTCGTTCGCAATTATGACCATATTATTTCCAGAGCATGGGTAGTATGTCGAGAAAGCTTTCGAGCATTCTTCATGTGGTCCGTAGCATCTGAATCAATGATCCATGGACTAAAAGAGGTAAAAGAAGCTAGTTTCATAGGAGTAGTACTTTGACGGATGTGGGAGGCCGATGGGCCAGCAGAGACCTAATTGGATCCAAGTACCTTGACCAATTGCTTTATCTGACTTTTTAGATTGTCAGAGGATTTTGGAATGTTATGGGTAGGAGTCGGCTGAACCGTGGTAGACTCTGATGTCGTAGTGAGACCTTTTGCAATAGAAGTTTTGGCCGAAAGTTTATGTGTTGGTTTTTCATGGAGCTTTCAACGCTTGTCACGAGTATGGTTGGGGTTATGACAGTAATCACAAGTAGGGTAACCTACCTGAGGTGGTATGGAAGAGGGTTGAGCGCTATTAGAGACCAAGACAGACAATTTAGTTGATGGATTGAAAGTGCCGATCAAAACAAGTCTTAGGCTTCCTTCATAGCGAATCTCGATGAAAGCAGCGCGAGCAGAAGAAAGAGGATCCTGATCATGAATACGGCCCCGGACTTCGTCAAGGTCTTTGTTGAGGTATGTCAGGAATTGAAACATATGATTCTTTTCTACAATCTTCTGTAAGAGAGAGAAATCAGCTGGAGACTCCCAAATGTAGTTATAATACAAGTCGCATTCCATCCATAGTGCCACTGGATCATTATAGTACCGTATTAATGTTTTTTATCCCAATTTTGTCTCTCGAATCTTCTTAGTCAATTCATAGAGTTGGTCAGAGTTCTCTACGTTCGACTCGGTATCACGGACTGCAGTCGAGAAGGCACTAGTGGAAGGAAGGAACATATATGAACTACAAATTGATGTTTCCATGGAGTTGATTAGCCATGACATGACCATAGAGTTCTCCACTTCCCAAGCTCTATATATAAGCCGGGTTAGTCTTTGGAGGTTCATGGATCATACCTGTGAGGTGATTGAATTTTCTGCTTCATTTGATGAACCAGAACACCGCTTGAAGACATTGGAGAAAGTTGTTGTCGTTCAGTTTATGAGTTGTGATCAAGAAGTTCATGTTGGTTTATATTCCCCTAGTCTGCAGGGGAATGAAAGTTGGAGTTGATCCTTCGATGGAATCAAGGGCTCTTTCTAAAATTGGTTCAGTGCTGGAGGAGTCTGCCATGATTCCAACCGAGCCAAGGAGATGTAGTTGGGATTCCAAGACATTATCAGGTTCTGATGGGTCACCGACATCGGATAAAGTTGTAGGTAACAACAAGAAAGTTGTAGGAAGAAAGTTCAAGGCAGCCGGAAGAAGCTTGAAGGGAAGCCGTAAGGTGGACCGGCAAGGACAACCGACGGTATTATCCACCACAGGGAAGCCAGGAAGGACTTGCAGAGGCAGACAGTCTTGTTGCAAGGAAGACAAGCCGCAGGGAGGACCTACATTTGCAGGCGGTTGACGAGGAGGTCAGCGACTAGGAGACCTTGTAGGAAAGGGCAACGACAGCCGCAGGGGAGGCCGACGGCTGCAGAGGTGGCACTGATACCATGTTGAATTTTTGAAGAGAGTAGTTTGAATTTTATTGATAGAAAGGGTGGTCTATATATCCAATTATAAGGGCACTCATAAGGAAAGTAGTAAAAACAAAATAAAGAGAAATAAGAAATAAAATAAAAACAAAACATAGAGAAATAGGAAAGGAATAATACATTAATTAATACAAATCCCAGCATTTAATGCAAATCTCTGCATAATTCTAATAGTTTTTGAAGGTTTTTCTGTTTTAGAAATGTCAAGATAAAAGATATTACCAAATTTATCGTCAAGTTGTTAGTTTTCCTCCTTAAGATTAGTTTGAGTGAAGAAGCTATGGGTTTTATGAAAAGTGATATTTATTGATGTGAAGAATATTTTTGTGGGTGGATGATAGCACTTGTATTATTGTTATATGTCAATATGTGATGAACATGCACTTGTGATATCTTGTGTCAAATTTGCCTCAATGTTGTTTATGAATATGAACATACATAACTTATCCAAAAATTTTTGGAGGGATTTTTGAGAAGTTGTTTGCAGGAAAGAATTATATCAAATTTAGTGAACCTTTGAAATTAGTTATTCTCGAGGGTATTCTGTTGATTAAATAGTTAGCTATTTGATCTACTTCTTCAATATTATATTAATGTTTGATTGTGCAGGATAAGTGTTCTAGGTACCTCTAAAATATGATAATATTTTTTTTCTGCCACTCCATTTGTTGGAGAGTGTCAGGGCTTGATGATTGGGTGATACTGCCGTATTCGAAAGAATTGTGCTAACGTGATTAAAATAATCATTAGCAGAATACAACAACAAGAACAAAGCCTTAATCCCACTACGTGGGGTCGGCTACATGAATCCTTTTTCTCCATTGCGTCTTATATACTGTCATATTTTCATTTAGTTCTAGTAAATTAAGATCTTTTTTAATACAATAAGCCCAAGTCTTCCTAGGTTCACCTCTGACTTTCTTAACACAAGTCGAATCTAAAACATCTACTCTCCTAATCGGATCATCAGATGATCGGCGTTAAATCATTAGCAGAATGAGTTAAAAAAAATTAATTTTAGAGTTAAATTATTATTATTTTTTATCATGGCAATGAATATATGAAATATAGCGGGCCCATTTAGGGGATAAAGAATTGTCGTTGGCTATGAACATATGAAATATACTGCTAACATTAGAATTTTTGTTTAATTAAATATACTCATATCATTTGATTGTAGTTGTCAATAAATGTAATAAAACCAATGACTCCACAGATACTGGAGATTTTGGAGGGTCCCCAAATATCACAATGAATTAATAAAAAATGATTAAAAGATCAAGAGTTACTTTCAAGAAAGAAAACACGATGATTTTAACAATTTTACAAGTTTCACAATGAAAGTATTCAATATTTATATTTATAAAAAATGAAAGAAACACTAAGATTTTTAAAAGGATGATATTTTAATCTATAATGATGGGTTCAGATGTTGTCGGTAGAATGAGAGATGGAGTATGATAGTTGACCTCGATCTTCAAGAAGGTATAACTTATCTTTTTCTCTTGCTTGCCGAATCATCTTCCCTGTAATGAGATCTTGAAAAACACAATAATCAATAAAAAATATGTTTTTTCAGTCATGGTCTTTGGTAAATTTGTAAATAGGTAAAATGTTAATTGTACGTGTGTGATATGTAATACATGAATGAGAGTTAAATTGAGAGAAACTAAGATGTCTCTTAGTCTTGCAATATTTTTTAAAGATCTATCCGCAATTTTTATTTTTCCATTGCTAGGATATAAATTTGTAAGTTTGAAATATATTGACAAGTTGTTGGTGGCCCTTGAATCTATGATTCATAAAAGGAAAGAATTATTAGAGGCACTAAAAATATAAGAATTAGAAATCATATCATTTTGAGAAAGAGAGCTAGATCTCGATAGTTTTTTTAAGAAATTGAGAAAATTTTTTAATTTGCCAATTTTTTTTTGAATCGTGGCTTGTCCTTTTTTATTGCTACCTTTACTTCCTACATGGCCTTAGGGTTTACCATGAAGTTTCCAGTATTTGTCTTTGATGTGTTTTCCTTTTACAGTATTTGCATTGGAGATTTCTTTTGAAAGAAGGACGTTGTCTTTCTTTTGGAGAAGGTTTTGTGACAGAAAGTCCCTTACCTTAGGATTTAGAAGTTATCTTAACAGATAGCTCGAGGGCTGGACTATTTATCATCACTGTCTTTCTTCCTTCTTCTGCTCGTACAAGAGAGAATGCATCATTCAGAGAAGGGAGAATTTCTCTGCTTAAGACTTGAATTCAAATTTAATCAAATTCTTTGTTAAGTCCGACTAAAAAATTAAAAAAATTTCTTTTGCCCGACGAATTTCACATCCTCACAACATGATATCTTTAGTTCTTGAGAATAGCCTAACTAACCAATAAATCTTCATGATGTTAAAATATTCAGTGAAAGGAAGGTTACCTTGTTTGATAGCGATGAGCTTTGTCTTGATTTCATAGATGAGTGCAACATCTTTCATCTTTGAGTAAGTTTGTTTAACTGCATCTCAAATTTTTTTTGAGATGGGGAGAAACATAAAAGGTCTACTGATCTTAGATATCATGATATTCTACAGCCACGTCATGATCATGAAATCAGTTTCTTCTCAAAGAAAAAATTTTGTGTCTTGGGCTCCAAAGTTAGATCTAGAAGGCACTGAATCTTTTCCTTTTATTGTAGAAAGGTTTTAACACTATGGGAACATTTAAGGTAATTTTTTCCATTCAACTGATTAAATGTTTGAAATATATGTTCTCATTTTGTCTGATTTTCATCATTACTCATGGTCGATTCCTTTGAAGGAAAGTCAAATTACCCAAACATAATGAATAGAAGGAGAATTTGACAAAAATGTATAATTTTGTAATTGAAAACTGTAAACTAAGAGAATAAGAATAGGGTTTAGAGAGAACACCCTAACCTCACTCTGATGCTATGTAGAAAATAGAACAATGGAAAAAAATCTCAAGAGTTTTCACTTTTCTTTGTACAAGAGGAGAGATATATATGCACATCTCTCATAGACATTATAAAGCATAACTAAAATAAAAAATGGAAGAAAAAATTAATAGGGGCGACAATATTTAGGAATACACACGTATTACAATCCGAGGGTCATAGAAAGATATATCTAACTTTATAGAGCCTTGGTTTGTGCAGGGGTGTAAACGAGCCAAGCTTGAGCGAGCTAAGATTTTGTTTGTGTGCGGCTCCTTTGTATTAGCTCGTGTTTGAATTAGGCTTGCAAGAAATTTGTTCGTGTTCGGCTTGATGTTGATCGTTTTGTTCAAATTGGCTCGTGTTTGGCTTTAATTTGTGAAGTATTAACAAAATTAATTAGAATTTGCAAGGTGAAGGTTCAAAACCTGCACCATTCTTTCGTGATAGACGGCACCTCACTCCTCAAACACATGAGCTGTAGTGATTTAATTTTATATGTAAATATCTAAAACATATTATTATATGAATAATATATATAATTTTTTTATTTCGATCTAAAACGAGACAAACACGATCAAACTGAGGGTTGTTCGTGTTCAACTCGTTTATAATTGAAGCTTAAAAATTTTGTTCGTGCTCAACTTGCTTACTTACGATCGAATCGAACACGAGCTACTTAACGTGTCAAACACAAGCTTTTATCGAACAACAAATTTTTTTTGACATTCCTAGATCCGCTTGCCTTAAGTTCTTTGCTATCTAAGAGTCATAAATAAAAGATTTGACAATACAAAGTTTTGATTCATTTGCCTTCAGTGCTTTGCTATGATTTGAATAGAAAATCAACAAATTTTAATTTTTATTAAACATGTGAGCTTCACAAAATTTTAAAAATAAGACGAAGTTAATTATGGTTATTTTGATGGAAAATTAACAATGCATTCATCTTTAAAGAAATATGTTTAAACCATTAGCATCCTTACTATAATTAGGATAAATTAGAACTAGTTAACAACTCAAACTCAAAAAAATTAATAAAAAAGATTTAACAAAATTTTCAAATTCATTTCATATCCAAACTGTGCAAATTCGATTAAAAATGAATTTAATCATGCTATTATTTTGCTTTGCTCGGTTAATTAACTGCCCTAGATGTTAACAATAAGTGAGTACAGAGTTATTTGATCATAGTCCTTGCACTCATATGCGTTATTCACATTCAAACCCATAATAATGTTATGAATGGAGTAAGATCTCATTCTCTTACAATCATTCATTCAATTTGATCATCCAAAACATGCAAAATTCGTAGCAATATTGTGATATTTTCATATGTATTTAGACATCATAACTATTGCTGTCACTAAGATCAAGTGTATTGTATGGACTATACAAACATTAGTAAAACATGACTAATAACTTGCTTTTTTGCCTTCTTAATTTATTGATGCACCATATCTCTGTGTAAGTTGCCCCATCAAAATCTTATACCCTCTCTCTGTGGGATGGTAGCTATCCCAGAACACATATTTTGATGCGTCTTCACAGACGAAGGTGGTCAAGCTATTGCAAGTTTGTGTGACCTCGAAAGTTCCTGTGCCACAGCAGCCTCTCTTGGATTCCACAAATCCTTTGGTTTGGATGACCAAGTTAATAATAAAAAAAGGAATTAGATACTTTTGGTACATTAGCAAAATTATGATTCTTGTTTTAGTAGATGTGTAATTACCATATTTAGAAGGGTGTAGGATCATATCAAGCAAAGGGGTATACATATCGATGTAGCGTATCCTCGATTTAGGTAGAGTTCCGTTAAGCCTCTGTGCTTCGTTCGATAACTTTGAATTGAATGACATTGCGGCTTGGTTGTATGTTGGATCGCATATTCTTTCAATTCCTCCTGCTAGAGTTCTTTGTGATGGCAAACAGCCTATAGGAGGAATGTTCGCAACACTGATTCTTCTTCCCCCTAAATGGTACAGTTTCTGTTAAGAATAAGAGCAAATGGTAAATTAATTTTGTTTTTTGTAAATAATATTGTTTATACTGTATGCTGTTTGAAATAAAATAAACTCATTGTTATTCTCCTGGGAATGCATCATTTATTATGAGAGCGTGTTTTGGAGCCATAAAGGAATACAATAGGAAGATGTTTTGCCATACATTTTCACACAAGTTAAAGTTTTGATATGTTAGATTCTGAAAAAGAAAAGCAAGAATGGATGGAAAAGAATTCTTAAAGCTGACCCTAAATAGTTGATGATAAGACTAATGGTACTGATGATTATGAATCATTTCTTTCATTCGTACTGATTGCTGCATGTAATTTAATTTTATTTTGCTTTATTTCTAACATAAATTTAATCACTTTACATTCAAGAGCTATTACACTCATTATATCTCTTTTGCGTGGTCTTTCACTCCCATTTTTGGCACACTAAATTTACTTATCAAGGATTATTTAGTTGCTCCACGATCAAATATATAAATATATTATTACATTGCAGTTTATAAATCCATTTATTATGTAACCAAATATGCCTTAATTAATATATATCTATATCTATATATATATATATATATATATCAATGAATCTGACTCTGATACCTGAATGAAAGTTGAAGCTGATTGAACAGTAAAGTTGATGTAGGAGGGGAGATCGTACTCAAATCTCCTAAATGGCGTGGGAAAATAAGTGTTTGCAAGATCGTCCGTCCCCGTGACGATAAAATATATTGAATTTTTAATGATGTATGCTGCCCTCTTTTCTCCTACAATGGCTTTCACCTTTTCCTTGTACTCCTTGAACAAGTTTAGCTGTCCGTCCATCGAAATCGCCGACTGATGATGAAATATGTTGTGAGTTAAGAAAATTTGCTAGATTTTTTGTGTATAAAAGGTTTTCTTGGACTTTCTTTGATATTTCAGCAAAAAATTATATGAAAGATACCACTAGCTGAGATGTGAGAGGATCAAATCCACAGCCACCAGATGCAAAGCTTACTCCAGTTATAAGATCATAGGCTGACAGCTCTGACCCCAGATATGCAGGTACATATTCCTTTATTCCTAACTGAGAAGCTGAAATGAAATCATTGTGAACAAACATATCAATATTTATTTTACATACATACCATCTAATTTCTTTGTATTTACATATCCAACATATAAACTTCACGTTCTTACATTTATACTGCCAAAATCTTTCATATCATATAAAAGATACCACTACTTTAAACTTTAAAAGGTAAAATACCAATTTTCAAGAAGGTGGCATATATGTAAAAATTGAAGCTTTTATGATAGATATGTAACTAAATAGTAATTAAATTATATGTATGTAAATCTTCTTAATATTTAATTTACTAATTTTTGCCATTTTTAATTATGTTAATAATACTGATGCGTTGGCTGAGGGCGAACACATCATGCAGCTGGCCGAATGAGACAAACGATGATATTGGAAAGTCACCTATAAGGTCGGAGGGGATCTTTCCATTGCTGAACCTACCCGTCGCTCTGTGACCAACGAAATCCTTCCCATATGGCGGGTAGTTGCACCTAACCATTGTCAGGATTGCATTGTTGTTTCCTGGATCGACGACCGAGTCTCCAAAGACAATGATTGCCGGCGGTCGTGGAGACGTTTGGTTTGTATCGACGGTGCAAACATGAAGAGGATGAAGGAAAACGACAAAGGATAGCAAAGCTAAGGATGCTGCTTGCTTGTTGATTATTATTGTCATTTGGAACACCCAGCTATCTGCAATGCCTTGGAAACAGTAAGTTTGAAGGTTTTAGCCTCATGTCATATATATTTATTGGCATCCATGCAATGGTTTCGTAGTAATATTTCTATAGATTTTTTTATCTTGAAGGAGAAACTTGCTTAGCTAAATTATGTGCTGTCGAAGTCTTACTTTTACAGGCCTTCACTCACGGCCATTAATTATGCAACAATTTTTAGTAGAAAAAACGCGGAAAATTTGCAGTTAATGCTATAGCTCTACCTTTCTGAAAAAAGAAAAGGAAAAACACAGCAGCAGGGTGCTTGTTTTTATATTCTCCTATTAATTTTTTTATTTTACTACCAAATTGATTGAAAATTGGACCGTTTAAGAGTGCAGAGTTGGCCAAGCACTTTGTTTAAACTTTAGAGTAAAGAGAATACATTTCTGCTAAAAGATGCTATCTGATTATGCATGTTCACAAGAGAGTACGCTAACCATAGGGGTGTTAATGATTCCATAGTGAAGCCGTTCGGGCCTCTCTCAAGTGTTAGGTGTTTATTGAAAGGCTTAATTTACTTTTGATCTCTTTTAACATATGAACATCTAGTCATTCAGTTCTATTTTGAGACTAAGGGTTTCTTTGGGACAATTTTTTTTTCTTGCGTTGCATTTCAGATCGTCACAAAAACTCTCTTTGTGGAATTGTTTTATTGTTGTTTTCTATAAGTTGTCATGTTTGCTTGAGCTTGTGTCGAGCTTTCTCATGTTGTTCAAGCCTGAGTTGTAAAATTTTCAATGTTTGAACTTGATTTGTATTTGATATGTTCATTACAAATGAACAAGTGTTTAAACAAACTAATAAATGAGCCAAAAATTCAAGTGAGTGTATATTTTCATATAAAAGTTTCAAGAAATAAATTTACAAATGTAGTTAAATGAATAATTTAATAAATAATATAACAAAATGAACTAACTCAAATGATTTCATTTACTGTCTATTAAAGATATATTTTCACAAGAATGAATTTTAAGACAAAGAAGAAACATGAAAATAAGACATAGTGTAAAATCATTCATCAATCAATATAAGAATACATTACTATTAATTTTATAATTATATAAATTTTAACTATTCAATTTTTTTTTTAAATAGTATATCTTATATGATATGAGCTCTCATGGAGTTTAAAATGTCGAATATTTAACACGTTACTTATTGAACAATAAGCTAGTTCCTACATGAACATAGACAAGCATGTCTGATTACTTTAATGTTTAATTCGTTTAACCTCCTAGCTTTTAAAAAATATTCAAGCATGTTTGTTTTTTAACTTAAGTAAATATGATCGAGTTTTAGTAGAGCCGAGTTCGAAATGCTCATTGAGAGCATTGGTTGCCCGTCCCAAACAAACCCTGATTAGTAGTTGCCATAGATGAGCTGTTTTGCTTAATTTTGAGCCATGCTTGATTTGTTAAACTAATCACGGTAAAAATCAATTCGAATTTATAAAATCTATGATTTCTTAATTCTTAAGATCTAAGCATTTCAGGGAAAATAAGTATAATTTTATTAAACATCATACTATCTTATTTATGACGTTTTTCAAGGCTTCTTTGTGAATGATGAAATGTGCAATAATTATGTCTAAACATATAAATGCATATTACTAGTACATTCATTGATCCTCAATGTGTTTCCGTCTTGTTATAATATTTGCATTAAAAAAAAAAAAATACATACATCACTCAATTCATATGTATTTACATATTTAACCCCCTTAAAATTTGATTTTTTACATATATGCCCCCTTTCTTATGCATAAAAAAGTGTGTCTCACATTTAAAAAAGTTAAAATAGTGACATTTTTGGTAGGATATGAAAGATTTAGTTGGTATAAATATAACAAGTAAATTCAAGGTGTTAGATATGTAAATAAGTAAGAATTGGGTTGTATGTATCATCCATAAACTTAAGAAATTACAAATCTACAAGGTCAACGAATTAGTTGAGGCAGCTCTCAATATGTGTGTGTGAAAGAAAATATTTACGTACATAACATGCAATACGTGTGTAACCTGTAAATAGATTATAGGGAGGATTTTAGAAGAGTATAACCCCTTGTAACCTTCCTGTAACCTACCTGTACATTCTAGTAAGTTTCACGCTTCTGTTTTGATATACAGGTAGGTTACAGGGAGGTTACAGGAGGTATAACGCGGTTATAACCTCCTGAAATCTTCCCTGTAACCTGTTTGCAGGTTACAGACGCACGCAACTCTGCGTCCGTCTTATGTACGTAAGTTTTTTCCCAATATGATCGCAGATATGTACGCGAATCAATTTTTTTCCCCTAGAGTTTTGGTGTCTGCACTAAATCTAATTAAAATTTTATTAAGCATCTAAATAATACAATTATTTTATTACAAAATGGATAATTTAATTAACTCATACATAACAATTGAAATCAATTAACAATAAGTAACAGACACATATGATCATTGTCTAAAGTATATTCCTTGATCTGATCATCAATTCATCATGGTCCTTTGCTGGTCTTTTTTTGGAACACTTTGAAAATTTTCTCATGGTTGGCTTCTTCTCGTGATGTAAATACACAAGATTGCAATTCAGAGTTGCAGTATATAACTTTAGAGGCAGTAGAAGTGTGTGAACTCATATTTCATGATCTTTCAAAATTTAATACATAAAATGAGCTTCTATTAATATTACAATGACAAAGTTACAAGAAAAATTAAACAATAATAATAGCAATAATACAATGATAAAATTAAAAAAAAAGAGGTATCTGAGTGAAATAAACTAATGGATATTTTATCATTATAATAAGGGAAAGGATATAGAAAAAAAAAAAAAGGATCTTCGTTGCCTTAAACTAATTAATACTGAACTCGTATATATCGCAGAAATATATTCGAAAAAAGGCCTTTCAAAAGAACCCCTATGGTCATATGACTCAATATGAAAGAGATATTGGTTTCCTTATGCCAAAGTCATATATTTCATAAACCATACCAACACAAAGGCCATTTTGAAACCCCTGAGGTCATATATCTCAACATATACCTCCAAATCAAAAGCATGAAAAAAACCCTTACATATAGCATGCCCATGGTTGACTGATAGGCCATCCAAATGGGGCAAAATATAAAATGCTCAAAGAAGGGAAACAACACAAAAAATTATGAAAAGAGTCACAGATAGAACATTGAAATAAGAGTAAAAATAATGAGATTTATGTCCTCATATGATGTCATACAATAATCACTAATTAATTATTGCATTTATAATCTGCTCTCATAACTCAATCATATCTCTAACACCCTCTCCATCCCGCTCACAAGAGTCACCTCACAATCATTTTGTGATATTGACTGCCCCAATCAATGCTCTTATGCTTTATGAGGAGTATTCAATTGATTTTTGTCCGCATTATTAAAATCAATGTTAGTTGTTATAAGGCACCAATGTATATAATTGTGGAGAGTCATTACTACAACAAAAATTTTCACCTACTTTCTGAAAGGATATGTAGACATATCTCGAAGAATAACTCATATTCTTTTCAAACACCAAATGTTCTTTCAATAACATGCCGTTTGTTAAATATTTATTTTCTCCCAGAACTAATTGACTAGACCGTTCAAAATCTGATATGTGAAATCTTGTCTTAGGATATGACAGATATGGCTTAAGAAACCCATCTTATAAAAGATAACCAATATCAACCATTTAATATTTTCTATATAGAATTTATTCAAAAATACATGTTAGAGAAGAAGCTATAAAATTTATTTGTTTAAATATTGGATGTAATACTTCAGAATAACCTTAAGATGACATAAGAAAATCATAATGAGTATTCACACAACAAAATTGAAGATTCCACAGCATAATTTGACTATCTGTTTGTTTTGTGCGTTTAAAAAACAGCTGTTTTGCAGTCATTTTTTGATAAAAGACCATTCTGCCAATGTGCAGTAATGCCGTTGTAAATAGAAAGGTTACAACAATATATTTGATAATTGAAAAATAAAAGACAACTTCATAACAATATAAAAAATAAGATACACACCTCGCTTAACAATGATTATTAAGTGTACTAAGAAAAAAAAGCTATTAAAATTACAATTAAAAATATGATAGTATTAATTTTAAAATCTAGACAACATTTGTCACGAGCTACGTCGTCCTCCAGAGATATTATCCAACCTCAATATCTAATATATTTTAATATAATAGTTATACTTACTATATATATAATTATAACATACAAATTATATAAACAAATATCTTATATATAGTAAAATTTAACATATACAAATTAAAATTAATTATATAACATGCATTACAAAATATTATATAATTTAAATTGTATATTTAATGAGTTTAAACATAATAATAATTTAAATATATAACAATTATAAATTTATTTACAAATAATTTATAATATATATTTATAAGTAATACATATTAAAAAAAGTAATATTCATTTAATATAATATACAAGTATTTTATAAAATTATATATTATTTATATATGATTTTAAATAATCATATATGCTAAATTTAACAATAGTAATAATTTATGATATATAATTTATACAATATACGTTAGATAAATTATGTGACCTTACCAATAACACTACGGATAATTCAGATTATTCGCCATTAGCACCCGATAACATCCGTTGTTGTCGAAAACTGTCAATAACAATATTGTCGCGGAACCGCGGTAACACCACAATACTAACATATGTGATATCTTGCCATCCAGTCTACAATTTACCACACTAACCGGTCACTGAAAGAACCGGCAAATTGGTTAGATTATGCCGTATGCAGACAAAAGTCATGAAGCTTCCTGCCAATAGTGGAAAAATTATTCCATGCGGATCGGCGTCCGCACGGTCCTGATGTATTTCGGTGGGCCCCACCTAAAATTTTTTATTAATTTTTTTTAAAAACGGAAATAATCCTGACCGTAGATCACCGTGATCTACGGCCAGGATCGAACACCGCATGCAGAGATGCATGCGGTGTCCGCACGCAATAATCCCCCCCCCAATAGTGACTCAATTAATTAGTCGACAAAACTAATGAATGAAAGATCAACAGCTTGAATTATTGCCGAAAGCCATGATATGTCCACTCTATAGATACATCCTATTGAGCATTGCTATTCTCAACTTTTGGGTTTATTAATTCTCTAAATGGAAGCGCCAACCCAATATTTTTTATGGTCGATCTTCTTCTTCACAGCCATCGCCATACTTCTAAGACGCAGTTCCTCGAGGAACTTAGCTCTTCCTCCAGGTCCAAGACCGCTCCCAGTGCTAGGCAACCTTCTCGAGCTAGGCCAAAATCCTCACCGCTCGTTGGCCCTTCTTGCTCGAACCCATGGACCAGTCATGTATCTCAGGCTCGGCAGCATCTACACAGTCGTCATCTCCTCTCCAGCCTCCGCAAAAGAAGTCCTTAAAACAAAAGATCACTCCACCTCCGCCCGACAAATCCCAGATGTCATGCAAGCCGTCGGTCACCACCAGGTCTCCGTAGCATGGCTGTCCCCAAACCAATCATGGAGATATCTCCGCACTCTCATGAAGGCCAATCTCTTCAACGCACGGTCTCTCGAGGCAACCCAACTCCTTCGCCGGCGAAAGGTTCAGGAACTCATCGAATATATCAAGGGGAAGAATGGGGAGATCGTGCACGTTGCTCGGGCAGCCTTCTGCACTGTCATCAATCTAATATCTACCACCTTCTTGTCCATGGATATGGTAGATATTTTCAAGTCTGAATCAGCGCAAGAGCTGAAGGATTTGATGTCGGGAATAATGGAAGAGGCGGGGAGCCCTAACCTCTCCGACTTCTTCCCTTTTTTGGCTCCGATTGACCTGCAAGGCCGTAGGCGCCGTTTTAAAGCATACTTTAAGAAATTAAATGATTTTTTCGATGTGGTGATGGATAATCGATCGGCAGGAGATGGTGGAAGAACGAATCATGACCTTTTAGATGTTCTTCTTCAACTAAACCGAGAAGAAAATTCCAAGCTTAACAGGAGAATCATAAAATCCTTACTGATGGTAATTAATCACGACATATCTGAGGCCACAAGTTTCCAAATTTTCATTATAAAATCTTCTTTTTAACTTTGCTAGGATTCTTTTGTCGCTGGAAGTGAGACTAGCTCGACTACAGTAGAGTGGGCGATGGCGGAATTGCTTCGCAGGCCGGAATTGATGGCGACGGCTCGGGACGAAATCGCGACAGTAATTGGGTTGGAGAGGGAAGTGGAAGAGTCGGACATGTCGAGTCTACCATTCCTCCAAGCGGTGTTGAAGGAGACACTCCGGCTTCATCCGCCGGTTCCGCTTTTGCTGCCTCGCAAAGCAGAGGCGAGCACGGAGATAAATGGCTACATGGTGCCGAAGAGGAGTCAGTTGCTTGTGAACGTGTGGGCGATTGGTCGAGACGAGCGGGTTTGGGAGAACCCCGATTGCTTCGTTCCGGAGAGATTTCTCGGAGGAAGCGAGATTGGCTTCGACGGACACCACTTTGAGCTCTTGCCGTTTGGTTCGGGACGGCGTATCTGTCCGGGGCTCCCATTGGGTGTTCGGATGGTGGAGCTCATGCTCGCCTCGCTCTTACAGTCCTTCGAATGGGGTTTGCCTGACGGAATGAAGCCCGAGGATTTGGATCTCACCGAGAAGTTTGGTCTCACACTCGTCATGGCTGCTCCCCTTAAGGCTATAGCTAGTCCTACCAAACTCATTTAAATGTTCGTACTTGAAAACTCGTAGTTTTGCAAATACTTTTGTTTCTGCATGTTAAATAATTCGTATGATATTGATATTCACCTCGTTAAATAACTTGGATGTGATTCATTAGTTTAGATGATCGCACATTGTCTAAATTTTCAAAAAACTCTAATTTGTTGAACTCTAATGCTTTTCGTTGCAGGATTTTAGAGGTCAAGCAGCCGAAAAAATTTACAAATTTTTTTTTTAAAAAATAGTTCTTTGAAATGCACTTGGCGTTGTGTTATTGGGGTCTAGACGTAAAACTGCGTCTCGATTTACGTCTCGACTCATAAATTTTTTTCCAAAGGGCGAGCTTCGACACCACCTACCTTTCATAGATGATGCTACTAAATATGTAGTCGTAGTAATAAGCCGTCCATAACACTGTCGGTCTAAAAATTACCGACTGCTTCATGAAATTTACCGGCGGCTTTCGTGGTTGAAAATAAGATAAAACTAAGCTGAATTCCTATTGTGATATTTTGGAATTAGGGTCCGTTTGGGGCAGCTTATTTGGTGCGGTGACATTTTGAATACGAACCTGAGCTGTTTGGGTAAACTGTGTTTTGACAGCTTATGTGTTTTCAAAACGCTAAAAACGACATTTTCACATCGCACCTGTCTATGTGCGGTGGCAGCTTTCTGGCTGCGGTTTGGCTTTTCCAAAAAAATAAAAATTTGTAATAGCTACCGCACCTAGCATATTAGCAGATTATTTTTAATCAACTTATCAGCATATTATTAATAAACTGCAGTTGCCCCAAACAGAACTTTATTTTCTGTCATAGCTACGGAAATAAAAAGCCTATATGATTATTGTATAAACTCCTAAAATACAGGCTTTTATGCAATAGAAATAAAAAGCTTATTTGAGCATTTTTAAAAAATAATAAAATATGTAAAAATGATAATAGAAAAACATTTTTAAAAATTTTCAAATTTAAAAACATAAAAAAATAATACTAGTTTTTTTAAAGAAAAATAAAAAAATGTTATTTATATTTATTTTTTATTTCTAAAATTAAATCAATAGATTTTTCAAAATATTTTTTTCAATACACTCAAAATAATTTTTAGTGGTTTTGAATATTCTTAAAAATAACCCTATCTTTAATCAACCATGAGAAATAAGTTTTATTATAAATCAAAATAAAAAATAAAATATATTAAACAAAATTTACAAAGTTGCCCCTCAACTAGCGGAGGCGACTTTTTGATTGCTGACATACAGTACCCGCGTTAGCGATGACGAGTTTATTGATTTAAAAAAAAAGTTTATTTTTAAGTGTTGATTTAAAATAATAAATGAAAACAAATGTCATTTTGAAAAATTATGTCATATTTTTTTTTTCTTAGAATCATGATTAATTGAAATCTGAATTAAATTCAATGTATTCAGTGATGCTCGCTCCATCCGACACAATAAATATTATATCTGAACATAGAGATACGTTCGAAGTCTAATGAAATGACGCAACATGGATGTGACAAAAAAAAAAAAATTTAGCATAAGGGAATATTCCCCCCTCGTTATTCTGCATTATTCAGGTGTTATTGTGGTGATGTTCATGTGTTATTGCGTTTTAGGAATATTCCCGGTATTATAATAACACAATAACACATCAATACCACCATAATAACACCTGAATAAAGCAGAACAACACATGAGGGATATTCTTCTATGTTATCGTGCCATATCACATGAAAGCGCACGTGTTTCTTTGAAGTCACGTATCCGCATATCAGCGGACTCCGAACGCATCTTCACATCAGAAATCTTGATAGAGTAATTTTCCCATCCGGCATGTGAAACATGCATAGAGGCGTCAACATTGTCATTTCAATTTCCGTACACATAACAGTAAATTGATAAGGTTTCATATCCATATGTGGACCATACATTGTGATATATTTAAATGCATGATGGACTCCCGAAATCCTCTAAAATTTCTTCTATATATTTTTTTCAAGTGGATCGAACATCAAATTTTATTTATGGATACTGAATGCTTTTCTATTAAAATATATTTCAATGAACATTCTTTATATTAATAAAGTCTGATATTATAGGCATCAAATGCAAAAACAAAATATTTCAATTCTTTTATTTTGCTCTTATTGAAGCCCAAGTTTTTATTCCAACAAATTTTTAGTCACATTGAATTTTTCATTCAAATTTATTCAATACACGTAATATATCAAATAGAAACACACAATAAAGTAATCCCAACAAAATACACCAAAATTTAACGTGGAAATATCTAGTCTCGTATATAGCATTACATAAACCATATCTGATATCGTATATAGAAATGCATATATCAGGCTCCCAATAGCTAAAACATATGGATTTCTCTTCATCTATGCTTGCTTTGCTTCAGACTTAGGCCGTAATTCCTTATATAGCTTGAAGTGGGTACTTAAGGAGATGCAAGCTAGTTTTGTCTCACATATATTGAACCTTTGTAGGGTCTTCTCAATATCTATTTTGATCTTGGACCTTTAGATTATCTTGAGATCTGTGGAGACATATTTTTTAGTGTGCATATTTAGTTCTCAAATTCTCTTGCTTCTTGATAGTGAATGTTGCAATCAAAACAAGATAATTTTTAAAGCAAAAAAGAATCTTAACAATCATAATTTAATGCAATGATTAAACTCTGGTTTCTTCGTGCCCATGACCCTTATGAGTGGATGGTTATCAACATTATGCTTTTATTTCTCTTTGCATCTGCTTGGCTTCTGAAGATAACCTTATGGAGAAAAAATTAGATCCTTCACCAAAGTCGTAAACCAAGAGAAGATGTTGGCCGCTTTTGAGGTGAAGAAACATCACAGCTCGGAGGGTGAACTGAGAAGAAGTGGGAGAACAAAGTTGTCAAGAAGTCGAAGATGTTCGAGAGGGTTGATCTAGAGGAATCCTCATATTCAATCCAAGAGGTTCTGAAGAAGAGTCGACCCAGTGTTGCGAAGGAACTAGGTGGTTAGGGTGCTGGTTTGTCAACTAAGATTTCTGTTGCTGTATCGATTGTCCAGAAACTGCAAGTGCTCCTCAATCGCCTGACGAAAAAGGAACCAACGGTGGGCTGGCCAGGATGAAAGGAACTGTTGGTGATCTCCTTCCACTTAATGGAGGCAATCTCTCAACTACTTGGTTCGAGAAGGAGTAGATTATGAGTACTAATGTTTTTGTTGATTTAGGTTTTTTTACATTTATTTTCTCTTTATCAGCTTTCTCTTGAAAAAGAAGAAGACATTCGAATCAAGGGCTTGCCTGCTACTAGTTTTGGCCTTGATCCTTTTGTGGCATTGGCTCATGCACCTCAGGTGCCAGCTGAGAGCAAGGGCAATGTAGTCAATTATCTGGGTGACCCCGTTGAGGTCCACAAGGAAGTGACTGAGGCATGCAAGATCTCGTTAAGGATGTTGACCCTCCGCTTGGATGAAGTGGAGGTCACTTTGGCTGAGATGACTGAGGCTTGGTGAGAGGAGGGTCTCTGCTAGGTACTGATCTGACTGGATGAAGTTCTAAGGGAGACCTTTGATCTTCACCAGGAAGTGTTTAAAATCCAGGAGGATGCTTATGCACAGAGGGTCCACTCTGAGGCCGATCAACAATATCAGTTCAAGCTTGGTGGGTAAAGATTATACTATACATTGGTTAGGAAGGGCCTTCTCCTCGCCAAGGCTGTCGAAGACCAGTTTGTAAATTCTTTCTATTGGAATAGAGTTTGAGTGTAATCCTTCAATATTTTTTAAATAAAATTTTATTTTGTTTTCTCAAAATTTGTGTTGACATGATTTTTTTCTATCGACATTTTTGTGTGAAGATTACTCTTCTAGTGTATTTTTATAAATCGTGATTGAATGGGTTTTTTTGTGCTTACATTATTTTTTCTCTATCTTTCAGTCACTCAGGCTCTAATTTATTTGTCAGTGTTTTCTTCTTATTTTATGATGGCTTCGAAGCACACTCTGCAAACCTGGGTACTAGTGGTCGCGACCGAGTGGTCGGTCAGTTATCGTTAGAGGTGATCTTTATGGAGGAGACTTATTTTTGACCCGACCATCAATTTTCAGGTTGCTCGCCAGGATGAGAGGGCCATGGACTAGTTATGTGATGATGTAGTCGTTTATAGGGAAAAGGTGAGATATGGCATGTGATTTCCTCTCTGTCAAGAGCTTTGAGCAATTTTCAACCAATATAACTTTATTCATGTTATTTTGACCCCAAACTAATGAACTAAGGTAAAATGACAATTTTATAACGTGACACCGCCACCTACCACATCTCACCTACCTCCCACCTACCGCCCACCTACCTCCCACCTACCTCCCACCTACCACTCTCTTGCTTCTATAAATAGAGAGGGTGTGAGGCTTAGAGAAGAGAGCAAGGGAAGAAATCTTAAGGGTGTGAGGCTTAGGAGAG